TCATTTTACATTTCTTTTTTTTTTCATTCACTTTGCGTGGGTTCCAACTGCAGTCTTTTGTACAGTCGACCCTTATTAGTTGAGCAAGAGCAATTTCTGTACATCTGTCACTCGCCAGAGTACTTCTTTCAACTCCTTTTCCTCAACTCGTGTGGAGAGTCAATGAAATTAAGGGGGGTCGGAAGCTCTATCCGTGCCCTTAAAAACACATCCTCGAGTAGGCAAACCGTTCAACTTGTACTAGAGACACCTTAGCTTCACCTTGTAGGAGTACCCCACTAAGGATCACTAAAATCTCTTCCACAACCCGATTTTGTGCAATGAACGGTGCCACACACGTTGGGCTTACCCCATGTTTAAGATTTCAATTATTCCGACATGGAGGACCAATTGCTTTTCATTTCACACATGAGCAAGTGTAACCAATGAAAGGGACTGTAGTATAGTGGCTCAAGTAATAAATATCGAATCCACAGGTCTCTAGAGTTACTATTACTCAGCTTCAGTTCATTATCTAGCAAACCAGATTAAGATGGAAAAACTAAAACTACTCTAACAAACTACAGTTAAAGTTAATCTAATTACAGGTTGAGAACTCACTTAGGTATGATTCCCCCTAGCCACTAGCCAGATTAATCATTGATGATTTCTAACTTGTTTCACTTTCATTCACAATGCAGAGAATCCTTGACTAGACCTTGAATCTCAACTAAAGGATCAAGGCCCTCTTGAGTCGATTGCCTAGAGAGACGTATCCTTCTCTAAAACAACCGATGAAGGCGTTCTTAACTAGACTCCCTCTATCGAATGAGGTTCTCAATCGATACAAAGCAGTGAATCGACCCTCGACTATAGCAATCGATCCATTACTATCAATCTATGGTGCTCTATTGACCTAATCAGGTATTCGCTCTCATAGGATCAAAGCAGAATCAATAATCTCGACTAAAGCAGAATTGAATCATGAAAACGTGCATAGATTGAATATGAACTCAAGATTATCAAGTAGGAGTACTCATACAATCATCCAATCAAACAAACATAGCTAGGGTTCCTCAAAACCTAAGTGAAGGGAAGTTACTCCATAGAGAAGAGAGAGACTGCAGTAAGAATATTCAGATGATCAGTCTTCAAGTCCGGGCTTGTTCCTCGAGCTTCCAAGGCAAAGAAATCCACCAATTTCAGTCCAAGAATGCCCTCAAATGGCCCTCTCTCTCTCTCTCTTGGGTTCGTCCCTTGGGTGTTTGGGATCTAAAACCCAGCTCTCCCCCTCCAAAAACGCACAAAACAGGCTTTTAACAGCCTGCGTTCGCGACCCGGTCGAGTATTTTGGGTACCAGGCTGGGTATTTTTTTTTCTCGACCGGGGGGCCTTCTGATGCTGTCAAAAATAGCCTATCAGCTGGTCAAAATACCTGGTCGGGTATTTTGCAGTTACGGGTCCCCTATCTTTGATTCTTCGTTTCTCCCTCGTTCAGACTCCAAATCAGGTGTTGTTTGATCCCAGACTCTCATAGTCTCGTCCTTTTTTTTCTCATGATAAGCTTACATGATTCTATGGTCACAAAATTAGGTAGAAATCCATTCTTCTTCAAGTCATATCCGAGTTTCTTCCCCCGAGTCGCCAATTGATGTCCAATTGACTTGAAACTTGCGCCTACGCTTCACTTTATGTGCTAGGACCTTAAATGTGACAAAGGAACAAAACCTTTCGTAAAATAGGCCAAAGAAGCGATAATGCAAGCTTAAACGATCAAGAAACAAAGGGGAAAACATGGGCAAATATCAAGTCATCACGGGGTGTAACAGGCGCCTAAACTGGCTAGACTCCCCTTCTACTTCGTAGGCTCTTTCCCTTTTCCTTGACGTCGGGCTATGAAACAACCTTTCTCCCCTTTTCAGCGCCTCCAACTCCTGTTTGAGGACTTCAATCGTTCTGTCTTGGTCTTGAATGATCCTAAACAGATACTTCTTGGTAATTGAGGTGTATTCCGAGTATGGGTGCCTCGACTCGCTCCCTTCCTACTCAGTTCCAATAGGCATCCATTCCCTCAATCATTGAGACATCTCCATCTTAACTTGTTCTTCTTCCCCTATTCTGGATGCCTCAATTCTCATAGTTTTTGGTCGCCCCTTTCTCGTGCCAATCGTTTGAGCCCCAAACACCTTGAAGCTCGATCCCTCGTGAGCCCAAGACCTCTTATTGCTCTCAAAGCGCCTCACCTACACACAATCTCACAGAGGGGGGCACACGAGCCTGCTAATCTTTCGACGATCAAGTTAGTTAGAATTCTTTAGAGAGAAGTTCAGAACTCTTGTTTACTGAGAGTACCCAACTTGCATAAATGCTACCTACTGGTACCATTTATGCTCACCCAACTCCCGACCGGGATCCTTTACTTCAGTCTTATGTCAACACAACATTTAATGCTTTGTATCTTCACTAGGTTAGGCCCTGAAAAGCATGTCATTCTTTTTTACAAGTACCAGGCGCCCCATGGGGGACCATCGACAATTCGTACTATCTTGTATCCTCTCAAGACTTGTCCCTATGTGCCTTCTCCTTTTGCTCGCGTTTGACCCATTGAGCCAACTAATCTTTCTGGGCCGAAGGTTTGTGACACGCTACGACACAACACCAAACTGCGACCAAGTATAATCGCAGAGTGGAAATGCATAATAGTGGTTAAATCTAATTATCGACCCGGGCTCTAGATCTACTGCCTACTCAGTGAACTCCTATTATCTAGCAGGACTAAGAGAGTGTAGTGATTTCAGTTCAAAAGAAACAAAAATCAAGTAATGGTCTGGTTCTTTTCAGGTTCAAAAAGTCATCCAGGTATGGTTCCCCCTAGTGTGCAGCTAGTTCAGGTTATACGGTCCCAAATTACTCACATTGATAGATAAACCGCGGAAAGTTCTTTATTAGTATGGACTCTCGACTAAAGTTATCCAGACCATCTTGGTTCGAATACCCGGGGGGAGACTAACCTCCACCGGCATACACTAACCAAGGTTAAACACGCAAAACTTCCACAACTGGCCTTTGTTACAGTATGGAGCAGTGAATCGACTTCTCGACTAAAGCAGTCGATTCACCACTTTCAATTAAAGGTTGCTCTTTTAACCTATGAATTTATCAAATCAGTCATTCATAACATGAGATTCATACAATCATTCCTAACATACACAGATAGGGTTCTTCATACCCAGATGAAATGGAAAATTACTACCTGGAGAGATTTGAGAACGTCATGCTCGGAGTATACATCATCATAACGACAATGGACAACTGCTCCTGGCGGCTAATCGATACTCCGAGGTTGGGGAATCGAGCTCCGAGGTCTTAGATCGCTCCAATCCTTACCCTTGGGTTTTGCTTCGTCACTCTCTCTAGGGTTCTTTTTATGCCTTTGGAAGTCAAAAAAATCCGCCTCCTTTTGCAAAATTCCTGAGCAGACTTTAAATAGGCTGAGAATCCGCGAGTTACAGCCTAAGTTACGGCCGTAACCTTGCTCGCCTGCCCATAACTTCCCAGAAACAGCGTCATCGTGGCACTCCGTAAACCAAGAGTTATGGCTTCCTTGGGAGATTTACGGTCTCAACCGTAACTTGAAAAGGGAGACTGTAACTTGAAAAACGTCTCTGGAATTGTTGTCTTCGGCTAACCAGGAGTTACGGGCGCAAAGGATGAATTACGTCCATAACCGCAACTTGGAAGATATGCTCGGAACTCTAAACAGTCTTCTGGAACTTTGCATCCATCACTCACCAGTTATGGCTCCTCGAGAGGAGTTACGGGCCAGACCGTAACTTGCAAGGTGTGGTTGTAACTCCTAGGTTCTCATTGCCCACTCGCTCCAGGATGTCCCAAAACTTCGCTCCTTCGCGCCCACTCACTTACTAAGTCCTGAAACATCATAAACGAACACAACCTAGCGTCAAATAGGCCACGACATCGATAAACCAAGCTCAAGCAGTCGAGAAATGACGAGAAAACATGTTCAAATATGGCGTTATTAGTTGGCTTTGCCCTATGGTGATACTTCCGTTATTCCATTGGGCTTCATTTGATTGTTTGGGCTTGTTTCCTTTGTAAACACCCCCAACAAATAGCATTCAAAAGAATTGGCCAAAATATGTAATAGATAGCCTTCAAAATTGATGAAAATAGAGTTCTAAAAAATTCGCCAAAATCTGTAATGGATAGCCTTCAAAATTGACGAAAATAGAGTTCTAAAAATTTCGCCAAAATCTGTATTGGATAGCCTTTAGAATTGGTGAATAATTGCATTAAAAAAGTGGCCAAAATCTGCAATAGATAGCCTTCAAATCGATGAGTAAAAGCATTTTAAAGAATTGGCCAAAATATGTGACGGATAGCCTTCGGAATTGATGAAAAATAAAATTCCCCAAAATCGGCCAGAATCTGTGATGGATAGCCTTCAAAGTATGTGAAAAATATGCTTCCACAAAATTGGTTAAAATCTATGATGGATAGCCTTCAAAATTGATGAAAATTATCATTCCCAAACATTGACCAAAATCTATGATGGATAGCCTTTATAATTGGTGAATAATTGCATTGAAAAAAGTGACCAAAACTGTGATAGAGAGTTTTGAAAATTGGTGAATAATAGCATTCAAAACAATCGGCAAATATCTATGATAAATGGCCGTCAAAATTGATGAATAATAGCATTTAAAAGAAACGACAAAATCTTTTATGGATAGCCTTCAAAATTGATGGGAAACAAAACATTCCCAAAAATTGGCAAAATATGTGATTGATAGCCTTTAGAATTGCTCAATAATTGTGTTAAAAAAGTGTCCAAAACTGTGATTCATAGCTTTCAAAATCATCATATAGTAGCATTCCAAAGAATTGGAAGAAATATGTAATGAATGACCTTCAAAACAAGTGAAAACTGGCATTCCCAAAATATGTCTAATTTAGGATGGATAGCCTTGAAAACCAATAAAATAAAGGATTCCCCAAAATTCGAATAAAATCTTTTATGAATAGCCTTCAAAATCGGTCAAATAGAAGCATTCCCAAAAATCAGACAAAATCTGTGATGGATAGCCTTCGAAATTGGTTCATAATAGCATTTAAAAAATTGGACACAATTTGTTATGAATAAATTTCAAAATTAGTGAAAACAACATTCCCAAAAATCAGTCAAAATTTGCGATGGATAGCCTTTAGAATTAGTGAATAATTGCATTGAAATCAAGTGGTTGAAACCTGTGATAGATAGCCTTCGTAATCGGTTAATAATAGCATTCAAATTAATAGGCCAAAATCTGTGATGGATGACCATCAAAATTGATGAATAGTATCATTAAAAATAATCGGCAAAAATCTGTGATGGTCAGCCTTCAAATTTATGAAAATAGCATTTCTCAAAATTGGCCAAAATTTGTGATGGTTAGCCTTTAGAACTTGTAAATAATTGCATTAGAAAAAGTGCCCTAAATCTGTAATGGATGGGCTTCAAAATCGATGAATAATAGCATTCGAGAATCGACCAAAATCTATGACGGAATCGATGTAAAATGGGATTCCCCAAAATAAATATGTGATAGATAGCCTTCAAAATAGGTGAAAAATAGCATTCTCTAAAATTGGCCAAAATCTTTAATGGATAGCCTTTAGAATTGGTGAATAATTGCATTCTAAATAATCTGCAAAAATATGTGATGTATAGCCTTCAAAATCAGTGAATAATATCATTCAAAAGAATCTGCCAAAAACAGTGACAGATTGCTTTCAAAATCGATGAATAATTCCATTCAAAAGAATCAACCAAAAATATGTAATTCATAGCCTTCAAATTTGGTTGAATAATAGCATTCAAAGGAATACGACAAAGTCTGACTTGAAAATCGGTGAAAATAGCATTCTAAAAAGTCGGTCAATATCAATGATGGGTAGCCTTCAAAATCGGTGAAAAATAGCATTTCCGAAAATTGGCCCAAATTTGGGATGGATGGCATTGTAAATCGGTTAAAATTTGTGATGGATAGACTTCTCAAAATTGGTGAATTATAACATTCAAAATAATTTTTCAAAATCTGTGATGGATAGTCTTAAAAATCGGTGAATAAAAGCATTCAAAAGAATTGACCCAAATCTGTGATGGATGGCCTTCAAATTCTATAAATAGTTGCAGTCAAAAGAATCGACCAAAATTTGTGATGGATAGTCTTCAAAATTGATGCTAAAGTAGAATGAAGTTTTGTCTTGAGATTTTTAATTTCTTGTATGTCATTACCACCAAGAAACAAGTCATCCACATAGATTAGGATACTAGTGTAGCTGGAGTCCGTGGCTTTGAAGAAGAGAGAGTGGTCTGTCTTGCTCTAGATATACTGAAGCTGATGTAGTTTATCTGTGAGTTTCAAGAACCAGTTGGGGGATCATATGCATTTGGTAAAGTCATGTAGACTTCCTCCTGGAGATCTCCATGAAGAAAGACATTGTTCACATCTAGCTGGTGAACATGCCAATTTCTCGTAGCAGCAATGGCCAGAAATGTCCTGATTGTTGTCATCTTGATCACTAGGGCAAAAGTGTCCTGGTAATCAACCCCTTCTTGTTGATTGTTTCCTTTTGCTACTACCGTGGCCTTAAATCCATCCAAGGAACCATCAGATTCAAACTTTAGGCGATAGACCCACTTGCTGACAATTGTATTATTGCTGCATAGAAGCATTCCATTGAGCTGATTGTGATGCATCCTCATACGTATTAGGTTTAGTGTGAGAGGAAATGTTGAGAATAAAGTGTTTGTAGTGAGGAGCAAGAGTTTGATATGAGAGAGCAGAGGAAAGAGGATACCTTTTGTCTTGGTCCTGGAGTGAATGCTAACTGGTAGTGCTAGACTAGTGTAAGAGATAACATTCGTAGTCTTTGGTTAGGTGAGTGGGAGTGATATAAGCCGAGGCTCTAACTTCTGGACTTAAACAATCAGAATCGCAGCAAAGATCGATTAGAAGAACAACGATCACAGAACTGATAATAACCCAAACCAAATCCACGAGTCAGGAAGGGGTCCAGGTATACGAAGGACTATTCGGCTAGGGTGATGAGCTAGCAGAAAACGTCGGTTTCCTCTTATTGAATCGATTCCATGATCAAGAAAGAAGAAGAAGAAGATAAGTTGGTGTTTGAACAACCAATTCTAGGGTTTGTATTCCGAATAAAATTGTTGATTACCCCTAAAAGACTTTAGTTCATCCCCTCATATAGGCTACAAAGTTTTGGTCCAAAAATAAGAAGGAAACCCGAGTTCTGGAGTAAAAGTCACATAATCCGCAAAGGAAACAAAAAAAACCAGGTTGTGCAACAAAATTAGTCTCGATCTCACGATTGTGAGATTAACTGTCTTATGAACGCCCGTTTCACTAGTCTCACAGACAGGAGTCACGGCCATGAGACATGGCCGTGTATTTAGCCTGAAACAGCTCCAACACCAATGATCATCATTTCTCGTTCCATGGACAGCTCTAGCTCCTACGTCGAGCAATTATTGGGAAATTGGACTCTTTACTTTGCCTTTTCGAGTCTTTAAAGCTTTCATCTTCGGACCACGATCGTTGTATGCTCTTCGAACTCAATGGAAGTTTTGTGAAGTGGACCGGTTTGCATAATTTGATACCACTATAAGCCGAGGCTCTAACTCCTGAACTTAAACAATCAGAATCGCATCAAAGATCGATTAGAAGCACAACGATCACAAAACGGATAATAACCCAAACCAATTCCACGAGTCGGGATGAGGACCAGGTATACGAAGGACTATTCGGATAGGGTGATGAACTAGCCTAAAATGTCGGTTTTCTCTTGTTGAATCGATTCCACGATCAAGAAAGAAGAAGAAGAAGTTGGTGTTTGAACAACCAATTCTAGGGTTTGTATTCTGAATAAAATTGTTGATTACCCTAAAAGACTTAGTTTAGACCCTTATATAGGCTACAAAGTTTTTGGGCAAAAAATAACAAGAAAACCCGAGTTTTGGAGTTAAAGTCACATAATCCGCAAAGGAAACAAAAAAATAGGCCGTGCAGCAAAACCAGTCCCGATCTTACTGTCGTTAGATGAGGCCGTGAGATTAACTGTCTTCTGAACACCCGCTTCACTAGTCTCACAGACAGGAGTCAAGGCCATGAGACATGGCCGGGTATTTAGCCTGAAACAGCTCCAACACCAATGATCATCACTTCTCGTTCATTGGACAGCTCCAGCTCCTACGTCGAGCAATTCTTGGGTAATTGGGCTCTTTACTTTGCCTTCTCGAGCCTCTAAAGCCTTCATCTTTAGACCATGATCGTTGTATGCTCTTCAAACTCAATGGACGTCTTATGAAGTGGACCGGTTTGCATCATTCCCTCCCTGTTCAAAAAGATTTGTCCTCAAATCTTGTGGCTACATATAGACTCCATTGTACAACTCCATCACCCTCGAACTGGAACATGCACCTTGAAAGAACAAACATTCTCCACCATCCCACGGAATCAAGAGCTCAAACAACCGATCATACATGGTCTCCAAGTCATGACTTTTAAAGCTCAAGTCAGCATGAATGTTTCCGTGAAACGTCCAGCCAAGTTTCCAAACATAATTGGTTGCTCCAACAGCATCCAAATCTTGCAGTTCCTCGTCCAAAATCTTCATCCCTCACTAGACTCAAGCCACCGCCATATTCCCTCTTGCCATCAAAACAATCAGTCGTCCAAAGCAAGCTATCAAAGATCAAAGCTTGACGACTCATACACCTCAAATCCTGCTCAGAATCAAAACAAAAAGAATCGTGATAGCTCGATTCAAGGCGTTCTATTTCAACCACTTCAGCTTCACCACTTTCCTGTACTTCAACTTCTTCTACCGCCTCCTGATCTTGGGAATTGATCGACGACTTCTTTTCTTTGATTTTCTCCTGATCTTGAAGGGTTCTGAATTCCTTGACATCCTGCTTTTCATCATCCTTCTCTGCTTCCAGATTCTCCTGTACCTCTTCATAAAGTCGTTGTAATTGCCTCCTATCTCCAGCAACCTCTTCCAATGATAATGGCTTTAAGGCAATCTTCCTTCCTTGATGACTGATGATGATATGATTGCGGTTGCGACGTCGTTGTTCTTGGCGATCATTGTGCCATAGTTAACCAAGTACCACGTGAGTCTACCTCATAGGCACGACATCACACTGAATTCGATCCACAAACATCCCAAGTTGAAACTCCACAAATGCTTGTTCAGTCACATACACAAAAGCGTCTTCCATTGACAATCGCATTATGTAAGGCCTAGGATGTTGTTGTGTAGTTAGCCCTAACTTAGCTACTGTCCTCGAACTAATCAAATTGGATTTGATCTCTCCATCCACCACCACAAAACACAAGTTCTCTTGAACCAGACAACGAGTACAGAACGTATTATCTTGCTCAAACTCGTCCATGTCTGCGGCACAAGTAAGCTCCAAGAACCTTCAGAATTCTCTCTGAAACTTCAGGAATCTTCTCTTTTGTTTTGTTTTGTTTTCTTTTATTTGAAAACATAAACTAAAAATTAACCTTATTGGCGGCGGTTGAGAGCACAAAGCCTCATTTTGCTAATTTTGGCACAATAAAGGAGGATATGTGTGTCACTGTGTTGAACCGGAGCTCTGATACCACCTGATATAAGCTGAGGCTCTAACTCCTGGACTTAAACAATCAGAATCACAGCAAAGATCGATTAGAAGCACAATGATCACAAAACGGATAATAACTCAAACCAAATCCACGAGTCGGGAAGATGGTTAGGTATACGAAGGACTAATCAGCTAGGGTGATGAGCTAGCAGAATGTTGGTTTCCTCTTGCTTAATCGATTCCACGATCAAGAAAGAAGAAGAAGAAGAAGAGAAGTTGGTGTTTGAACAACCAATTCTAGGGTTTGTATTATGAATAAAATTGTTGATTACCCCTAAAAGACTTAGTTCAACCCCTTATATAGTCTACGAAGTTTTTGGGCCAAAAATAACAAGGAAACCCGAGTGTTGTAGTAAAAATCACATAATCCGCAAAGGAAACAAAAAAACAGATCATTCGGCAAAACTAGTCCCTATCGCACGCCCCGATCTCACAGCCGTGAGATTAACTGTCTTCTGAACGTCCGCTTCAGTGGTTTCACGGACAGGAGTCACGGCCTTGAGATATGGCCGGTATTTAGCCTGAAATAGCTCCAAATGAGAAGACACCTATCCTTTCCCAAACGAAAGCCATCCATTCGTAGTTTCTATAAATAGAGGGAAAGTGCTACTACAAAGGGGACCATGTAACGTTGAGGAATCATACCGCTATCCAATATCTAAAGTCATTTCTAAAACCCATCCTTCCCATCCCATCTCATCATCGCCATGGAAGAGGAGCCTCAGGTGTCGGCGGCCCAGGTGATCTCGAGGACGATGTACAGCGTACACTTCCGCCTCCAGGATGCCCGCATCCACAGCCAGCCCCCATAACGGTGGGCTAGACCTTCCTTTCGAACCCCAGTGCTGTAGCCCAGACGTTCACGATGAATTTCAGGTTGTTTTCCGGCGAGAAAACTTGCGTTGAAATGAGATTAATGCACCTTTGACTTCTTTGGGCAACGATTTCTAAGACACGGCTCACACCTCTTCAAACAAAGTTCGAACGAGGGTGTTTGATTGATGGTTTTTGGGAACGAGATCTAAATTAAATTACTTCTACTCCTATGGAGGTTCGGCGAGAGCTCTAAACTACGAACTACATCTATGGCTACATGATAGAGAAAGGGTAAAGGATAAAATTGACATGTGTGTCAGAGTGTTGGTTTTGCAACCCTCTGTCTCTGTCGACCCCTCCTCTTATTTATATCCACGAGGAGGTAACCGCCATAGAAAACCGCTTGTTGGATAACTGCTACAAAGAACCGCTTCCCCTTCTTCAGTAGAAAACCACCTCTTGGATAACTCCCAAAAAGAACTGCTCCCTGCTTCCTCAGAGTGGTGGTTACTCCTTCAACCGCCTAGGGCCTCTCTTGTAACCGTCGTGGGTCTTGGAGTGTAGCTTGCCTCGCCTGGTTTTGTTCTGAATCTCGTGTCATGCTAGTCTTTTGATAAGCATGTGGTGTCTCACAAAGGGGTTAGTGGTCTTCTTGCCTCGCGGCCATGGACTTCTTACTCATGTCATGGCCTTCTTGTCTTACGGCCATGAACTTCTTACTCATGTCCATGGCCTTCTTGTCCCCTCTCGTGAAGCGGCATGTTCTTCCCAGACTTAGAATATTTTTAGGTCATGAGGCGACATGGCCTCCTCATTCGCGGCCATGGAATTCTCAGTCATGTTTGTGGCCCTTCTCGTGACACAGCATGGCCCTCTCATACTTAGTATCTTTTCTTGCGTCCATGCCCCTTCTCGTGAAGTGGCATGGACGTCTCATCTTGTCTCACGTCCATGCCCATTCTCGTGTAGCGGCATGGACCTCTCGTTGACCTGGCACATGTTTCTCCTTGAAGCGGCATGTACCTCTTCCAGACTTAGTTTATTTTTCAGTCATTCGGTATTGGTCGCGGGGTGACATGTGCTCCTCAATTTCTAGATGGACATGACCCTCTTCGTTGAGGCGGCATGTCCCTCTCCAGATTGAGTGGTTTGGGCTTTAAATCAATATCCATAAGACCCAACTTAAACAACATTAATTGTTATAATGGGTGTGGCCTTATAAACTAATTAATTATCTTGTAACTCACCAATGTGGTACAAGTTAAATTTTATGGTGTAAACAAATGCCCCCCAACTACTTAGTGCATAAGAAATATGGACTGAGTAGTTGACACCACCTTGACCACTTATATCCCTTCTCTAACTGGTCCTCGAGTAACAAGGCTTGTCTCTACTCACCCATGACCACAGGTTCAATAAAACTTGAAATTTTTTCCTCTAAAACAACATCATGGTACCTACGTCTTTCAAGTGGCTAGCTATGCCGCCTATTGTCTTCATTCATGTGTAGCCACGAGAAACCCTTGCCTTGTTGGCTTCTCGTCAACAATTCATTGAGGCCCCTACACTATTCTTATTTTACATGCTCAAGCTGGCCATCACTCATCTCCAACCCACGATGCCCTTAGGTCGTGGCCAACATCCAAACTGGTGGCCACTTGGGACAAGACGACATAGCATGGCAAGACGCAATCTACGACCCGGTATGCCAAGCCATCACTATGACTTGGTGGTAAGATCTTCACATCAAAGTCTAATAACTTCGACTCAAAATTTCCACTTTGTTATTTTCTCTCTATTTTTTCTTATATAGCCATGATTGGATTTTATTTATTAATTAATATCTATGATATTTATTTATTTATTTAAGATAACAAGGAGTGACAAACGTCACTGCTCTCCATCGCCTCTGGCAATAACTAATGCGCCAAAGGTGTACACCCACTGCCAAGTCCATGGATTAAAACATGCAAGCCATCCATATACCACATGCCTCTTTCCTCCATGGAACATGATTCTCCATACATTAATTTTGAATCTTCTAGCTTACCAGTGGGTGGTATATGATCAGCATGTCTAGCCTTGGTGGCCTTGCATGGGGTCTCATGCTCATATGCTTTAGCCACATCACTTGACATGTCAAGACGACCATGGGTTTTCCTTTGCCTTGGTTTCCTCATGGTTGAGACATGCTTACTCTCCTCATGTTGTTGGAGACGATGTCCGGTCTTGACAAGTTGGCGACCACCCATGTGGCCCACTTGACTTTGTTTTTCAACCTCCAAATCTTGTTGTCTCCTACCCATAGCACACGACCATCTTTGATTCTTTGTGAGGCCATGTCTGGTTTGTGCGTATGATACCTTCTTATGCATGCCTCTATGTCCATCATTCATGATTGATGTCATGTACTTACTACTCATGGACATG